AATGCCCTTCATTTATTATGTAAAATCATTAATTGTTAACTTTTTTATTGTATTTATTAATTTATAAATATCACTTATAAATTACATTCGTTTGTTAGATAATCAGTAGCATAAGTTGTTAATTTGCTAATTTTTTTATTAATTTATTAACATCAGTTGTAAATTACTGATAGATATTATAATTTACTAATATCAATTATAAATCACTATCAGTAGTTTACAATTAATGTTAGTAAATTATAAAATCTATCAATAATTTACAACTAATGTTAAAAAATTAATAAGTAAAGTTAGGAATTTAATAATTAATATTATTGTTTATGATTGAACAACTAATATAAACAATTATATAATTATTGACATGTCAAATCTTGTAATTTGCAACCTATATTCATAAATTAACAAGTGAAATAAAAAAAATTAATTACTAGTAATTTTGCACAACAAGTTAAGGGTATTTTAGTCTTTTTACTATTAAAATTCTTTTAATTTTTTTTTCGCTAAACTGAATTAAAATTTTAAATTTTTTTTGAACCTATCAAAAATTAAATTTCTTCTGTGATCCTTAATTAAAATTTCCTTATTGTTTATAATCAATTGGACAATTCAGTTGGCCAAAAAAAAAAAAAAGGGACGGTATTGTACATGAATCACTTCTAACTAACTCACAAGAAAAAATGCAAGTTAATTAGGATAATAAATTGTCTTCAAGTTAAATTACTTTTCATTTTAGAATGACGGTACTTTTAAAGTTGTACATAAAAAAAATTCATAAAACAAAAAGGAAAAGAACTTGCGTAAAATTGTTTTGCTATTGAAAACAAACTTGTTCAAATCATGATCAAGTTTCAAATGTAATCATCTCTTTTAATAAAGATTCAAGTCTTAGATTCATTTAACTAACTCTAACCCCATTATCAGTAGCGATGCATCACGTTTAGTAATATGCTACTTTTTTCTTTCATTGAAGTAAGTATTTTGTTCATCTCTCTTTTGTGGACACTAAAATAACTCTATCATGTTAATACATAGACTCCCTTCAGTTTAAAATACAAGTAATTTTCAGAAAAAATTTACATAACAATAAAAATTTTCTCTTACAAAAATATATATTATCTTTCTTGTTTATCTTTAGTTTCAATTACTAACACACTTTATAACGAATGAGATATAAATTTATACAATAATCTAGGTCAATGAACGTAAAGGTAAATGAAATTTTTTTTGGATGTACTTAATTGTTTATATTTTGAATCCAGATTACACGGAAGAAAATACTTATATTTTAGAGAAGAAGTAGTAACTTACAAGCACAAGTGCGTCGGTCAATTAATATTTTCCCACTTAATATAACCAAGCAGTGTTTTTGTTGGACTCGATAATGGTTGACTGTCATGTTGGTGTTGAGGATAATGATCCTCGCACATGTGAAGTATTCGAACCACCGACATTAAGGGAAGAGCATTTGTGTTGGACCCGAATACAAAAGCCCAGGAGAAAATACCAAAAAGACATCAAACAAAAGCGTGAGAGTTGAAGAAAGAAACAGCCTCTGGATTGGATCCTAACTAAATCAGACAATTCCATTTTGAGGCCCTATTTGGTACAATTAAATGATTTTCCATGAAATAGAAATACGAATGGGAATAGAGATGAAAATGAGGTATAAAATCATGTTTAGAATGTCAAACGGATGGCAGGATAATTTTTATTTTTTTACATGTAATTAGAATGGCAAATTACTACAATGCCCTTCTTCTTATCAATTGATTAAAAAAAATAAAATAAACAAAGAAAGAAAACCCTAGCTGCCAACCGCCACCACCATCACGGTGCAGAGCAAACCCAACATCGTCGGCAAGAGCAGTACCAGTGACCTTAGAGACGCAGAGCAAAGCGATCCTTGAGGAGGAGCGAGCATGAATCTCTACAGTAATGCCCAGTTGAATGCTTAAAACTCCTCCCTTCTCCTATTACCGAGCACCACCGCCATCGACGTTCCTCTTCTTTCAGCGCTGTACAATTCTTTCACCGTCGATTCTCTTCCTCAGAAAACTTCCATCAAATATGACAGCGGCCTTTCCTACAATCTCCCCGTCGTATCCAAAAAGCGGTCCAGACGTTTTCTGCCTGAGCTTGTAAACCTTGATCCTCGCCATTGCATTGGGCGTCGTCGAGCGTTGTAGCAGCAATGACGGCTTTTCATTCCAAAATGAAAGTCCTTCATTTCATCTTTCTCTGAACCGTGTTACACCCACGTTTTTATGAATTTTTATTTGTTTTTATTATAAAAAATTTTTAATTAAAAAATTTATAATCTCTCTATTAAAAAATATAAGTATTTTTAATTAAATATTATTTTTTAATAAAATAATTATTTATTTTTAAATTAATTATATTTTATTTATTTATTTCTATTAAATATCCTACAATAAATATAAAATTATTATTAATAAAAATATTTTAAAAAATTAATTATTTAATTTAAAAAAATTAATAATATCTTTATTTTTTAATATTAAATTGTTTTAAAAATATTTTATATTTTTAAATAAAAAAATATTAACTTATTATTTTATCAAAATTTATTTATTAAAATATTTTAATAAATATTTATCAAAACTAATGAAACTAAATTTTTTAACAAATTTTAATTAATAATTTAACAAGTAACTATTATAAAATAATAAATCTCGTTACTAATTTTAAATTTTTAATAATTTTATAAATAAATTTTAATAAAATAATAAGTTGATATAAATTTTAACATGTAAATTTTTAATAATAAAAATAAATTAAGTAAATATTTTTAAAAATTAATATATATTAAATTTTTTAACAATTTTTATTAATAATTTAATAAATAATTATTTATAAAATAATAAATAACTATTAAATTTTGATAAGTATTCGCTTAAAATGTAAATACAAAGTTTATAGTATATATAAAAATTTATGCTATATAATTGAGAGGCATTGTTAGCTCTGTGGCCAGTAATATTTTTGGTTGGCCAAGAGGCTAAAGGTTTAAAACCCAAACCCGTTAGTGCGTGCGTGCGTATAAATTTGGCACCTTTGCCAGACCGGTGACTGGTTCAGCGGCCGGCGATTGGTCCTGTGATGGCAGTCTGATGCCTGGTGCCAGGGCTTTGGAAACCGGTCAAGTGGCAGATGATAATTGGGGAATGTAAAATAAAAAAAATAAAAAATAATTTTATCTTTTTACATTAAATTTTAATTATATTTTAATCTTTTAATTTTACAAAGTGATTACTGAATCTTTTAACCCTTTCATGCGGCGAGTAAAGCGCTCCAAGGTCTTGGTTGTGATTTTTCCTATTTATTACACTAATCAACTTCCTCCTTTCCCACTATATATATTTCAAGTTTTCAACCTTTCTATACAAATCTAGTCATCCTTTTAGTCCAAACGGGAAAATAACACAAGGGTGGCAAAACAGAAAGAGTGAGTTGGAGGGACTAGAGCGACCCAGAATGGAGATGGGAAGCTGCGAGCTTGATGTTGACGGAGAAAGAGAGGGACGACGCCGAGCACGCCAGCCTCAGCATCGAGCACCAACGGCTGACGACACCAACAACGACAATGACGACGACGACGGAGGATAATGGCATTGAAAAAGATAAAAGATTATATCGTAACGAAAGAAAGGGGATTGATTCACAATTACCAAATAAAACCACCAACCTAAAAGAACGGCATTGAAAAAGGAAACATGAACCTGTTTATTCAAAAGGGAAATTAAATCCTTGTTTGCGTGCCTTCAATGTTAGCAATAGAGAAGCAATTAGGGAATAGTCAACGACATGAACTGATGTCACAAGAATTATGAAGTGAAATGAAAAAAATGCTTTTTATTGCATTCTTATTTGGAGTTTAAGGATAAGAAATAATTTTAAAAATCAGAATAGCTTGTGTTAATTTTTAATTTTATCCTCACCAAAAAATTACCAAATTTTTAATTTTGAATGTATCGTATTACATAGGGGTGTTCACGGGATGAGACAGGATCGAGAAAAAGATCGGGACTGAATTTTGATCCCGTGTCCCGTCCCGTCCGAAAGTCGTCCCGTCCCGTTAAGAGTCGGGACGGGATCGGAATAAGATCGGGATGTCCCGCCGTCCCGATAAATGGAATAATATCGAAAAAAGATCTGGATAATAACATTTATTAAAATTTTAAATCATATAATTTATTAAGTTTAAAATCAAAACAACACAAGTACATAAATAACAATAATTTAAAATCAATTATTGAATTATATTAATCATAACTACACATTATACTAATAAATACAAATGATCTTTATACTATAAGATTAGTAACAACAGACAAGTCAAACATAACATCAAATCATTGTTCTTCTACTTTAGTGATGATGTACTAAGCTAATTATTCTTCTAAAAATAAGCAAAAAATACGTTGTAAATAAAAGTTATTAAATAGATATATATAAGAATAAATTATATTAATATAATTAATATACTATAAAGAAAGATATCACCATGTTTACTCCATGCCATTAAAATTATCAATATAAAAAAACTTTAGTTTTAAATAAGAATTGTAAGTATTAAAATTATAATTGATATAATTAATATAAGTATAAATTATATTACTATAATTAATATATTTAAAATAAAAAATAATATATATAATATTCGGGACGGGACGGGACGTCCCGATGGTAATCCCGTATCCCGTCCCGTCCCGAACCTCTTTCCTGTCCCGTCTCGTAAAGTCCCGTCCTGATTATTATCGGGTCGGGACAAGACCCGTCCCGATATGATCGGGACGATACCGGACCAATCGGGACGGGTCCAGACTGAACACCCCTAATATTACTATTACATGTCAATTTTCTTTTTTAAATTAAGTCAGTTCACCTTATCTATGTGGGCGGTTAGTATCCATGTTTTTGCTGAAATAGTCGCAAGACTAGTCCTTCTTTTATATATACATATAACACAAATTATGAAATTAGCATGAAATGGCCCCAAACAGAGTGGCCTTCACTATGCACGCAAAAAGAGATTCCGACAAAGGATTACACACTCGTCGTCCCTTTGACGGTCCCAAAATCTAATACACATCCCAAACCTCTCGTTCAAATCACATTCCATTTCACAGCGCGTCGTTTTCTTTTCTTTTCTCTGGGGCCTGAATTTCATGGCACGCCTTTCACTATACAACTTAATTACACACTAAACAGTAAACAGTCTAACACTATATGTACATCAAAGGAGTCCAGCGGACTTCAATGGCAAAATCAAATATCCTCCGTCTTCCCGAAAACATGACATCCGTCAAAAATTTTCTTTATCCTCTCTCCTCCATCAAATAAAATCCAGCGGGCTTTTCCGGCGAAATCTAGTTCTTGACTCTTGATCAGATGCTTCACCCACCAAGTTAATACATGGTACTTCGGAATGTAGATTCTCAACACTCATGTCCATAGAAGTCTTGTTCTCTAGACAACCTTGCTCGCCTTGTTTCGATGCAACAAGCAACGCCAGCCTTTTTTCTTTTAACCATTTTCATGAACAATCAACACGAACCAGAACTCAAGATTTAAAGGCTGGCCAAGAGCCGCAGTCATCAGAATCAGAGATCATTTACCAGTTTTCACCCGTGATTGGATGAACCTTGAATACTCTCATCAGGTAGTGTCCAGGAAAGCAAATGCCCACCTGAATCCCCGCTCAGTAACTGCTTCAGGTCACTTGTGAGATAAAGGGCAGTAACTGGATACTTATGGAACTTCAAAACCTTGTGCAGGACCAACCTGTATTCTGGTTCTCTTGCACCAACATTTAACCCGCTCATTCTGCAAGAAGCTGATTTACTAAGGGAGCTATTTTGGTCAGAGCTGTGAACCATTTGCCAAATCTTGACAGCTCCACTCTGATGACCCGTCACGTACCAGTTTGTGTCCAGCCAATCAGAAAATGTACTACTTGTCACTGAGAGAATAGAATCAGAAGGCAGTTGTGATGTCTTGATCATTGCAAGGCAATCCCCATTAATGCTCCAAACTGCCAGAAGAATTCCAGCGGCTGTAACAATCTCCCCAGTCAAGTCATTGACAAAAATTGCTGAAACTGGTGCAGGAAATTTTGGGAGCTGCCGGACGAAGACCATGGAGCTGAGATCCCATATTATAACTGTGCAATCATCCGATCCACTCACAATAAGCATGTACGGCTGGCTAACTTGAAGGCATGTAACTTTGGCTGTGTGTCCACAAAGTGGCTTCTCCAACTGTAAATGCCGTAAGGCACGGTTCCCAAACCTACAAACTCTCCACACATTAACCAGCCCATCATCAGCCCCAGTAACCAAAATATGACCATCATGGCTAACACCAGCACACCGAAGTTGGTTACCCCCGTGTAAATTTTCATGTGTTGAAATGAGTCTGTCTTGATCATAACTCATGAATCTTAAGCTATGATCAGGGAAACCCCATGCTACATACGTTGTATATGTTCTTGGTTTAAGCAACTTGTGAGTGCCCGCAACAAGAATTTTATCATTCAAAGTAACAATTTGTGTGATAGGTGAAAAATTCTTGCGAATCTCGTGTGGTATAAGATGAGTGGAATGTTTGAGAGGATGAGGAGGAAGTTTTCTGTCAATTCTCCTTTTCACATGGGGTTTAAGAAAGAGCTGCTTGGGCGTTTGTCCAAAATGATTAATTTGAGCTAAAATGGAAGCTTTCAATGCTGGATCTGTAACTGAGTCTATGTTCACACTCCCTTCATATGTGTAATGATAGAACACATTGACAGATTCTTCAGCAGCCTTTCAGTTGCACAAGAAAAGAAAAGATATTAGGAACAGAAGAAAAGATATATTTCTGGATTAATATATGGATGACAATCAAATACATAGGCTATGGCCAAGGAAAAAGATTAAAAGAAAGGGAAACAAATAAGGGGGAAAAAAAAAACAAAACACATAGGTTGAGAACATAGAAATTAACCTGGTCAAATTCACATAACTTTGCATATTTCTATGTGGGTCCATTTCACTTGTTCCTACCTACCAATAAATTATTAACAACAAAAAGCCTTATCCCACTAGGTGGGGTAGACTACTTGGATTGCATGATTCCATTGTATTCTATCAACAACTTAGCCTTTGAACATAGGGTAAAGGCGCATTTTTGTCCCTAAAGTATTTTTCAAGTAGTACCCAATATGCTAACATTTTTGTTGGAGTAATTTTACCCTTAAAGTTATTAAAATGGAGCATTTTTACCCTTTTCGTGAAATTTTCTAACAGTCAACATTTGAGGTCCATGTTAAAATTTTAACGGAAAGAGCAAAAATATTTTATTTTAATAACTTTAAGGATAGAATTGCTCCAACAAAAATGTTAGGGTGTTGGATACTCATTGAGAAATACTTTAAGGGCAAAAATGCACCATAACCCTTGAACATATTGCAAGCTTCAGGGATTCAGAGTACATGAAGACAACCAACAGAATGGATGCAAATGGATGATTGTTAATTTACAGAAGATTGAGTAGAGCTAAACATGAAGATTATTTCCCCCTATTTGGAAAATAATAGGACGCACAAAAAGGACAACTTTAATCATGGTCCTGTCCCAGGAATAACCAGATAAGAATCTTTCAAGCACACAAGTACACACAAGGGGATAGTGAATGAGACGTTATCCTGTATAAATTAAATAATAATGACAATACAATTTACCACAACACCCACCTTCCCTCTCTGCTTATATCCAAAAATAAGGTCGATCCAGTGATGCAAATTTTCAGAGACATAATCAGATTCAAGAGCTTCTCTATGCTTCCTGATAAACTCTCTAGCGCTACCTTTAGCCCATGTAGGAAGAATAACATCCCCAACCTGAAAGAACAGCGTAATCGTTAAATTTCCTACTGCATAATGGCTTTTGGAAGATCATACATTTTAGCAAGAGATTGGCACTGGGATAACCTTCTCCCCAGACTGTTTCTCTCCCAAATCAAGATTGAACTGATTCTCCAAGAACTCTGGCATGTAGAAAAATTCCGGAATTAGTTCCTTCACATCAGATGTGTTTCCCTTCCCAGCTGCACTCAGCCAAGTATCCTTTACACTATTGAAAAGACGATCAGCATGGTCAAACTGGCCACCCTGAAGCTTTAGATTCTCTGCACTGAAAGGGGGAAGGCGGAGAAGATAGAAGAGGACAATTCCAGCACTAGAATAATGTGATCCATAATGGAACTTTGGAACCTCTGGGTCATCCCAGCTCTCATACCTAATGAATAAAGTTAAAGGAGTATGGTACATCAGACGAGGGGCAAGTACCTCCAAAGATCAAATTTCATAGATACTTGCTTGTCTTTTCATTTTATATTTGTGATATCTTAAGAACATGTCTGAATATTATAATTGCAAATGCAAAGCCCCAATATAATGTTCTTGTGCCTCCTCTGAGACACCTTAATTTCGACCCTATTCTAGTGATGAAACGGTTTGGATTGAACTTGACAGTCCAAAGTAAAACAGTCTATGACGAAAGGGAGAAATATTAAATTAGTGATATGAGAAGAAATTAAGAACTCTCAAGAGCCAACCTTTTTCTAAATTCATCTTCCCCTTCAGGTGTCTGGCAGCCCATTGGTTTATCAAGCCGGCGAAATGTTTTTGGATTGGACAGATCCAGATTTTCACTCTCATAATCTGCAAGGACCCAAGGAAAGACTGGATACTGGGTGAGGTCACTATATCCACGCCCTGCTAAGGTATTTAGGTGCATGAGGTACTGGAAATTGCTTATCTCTCCATTCTGCCACCTTTTTGAAAAGGATTTTGTGATCATTTTAAAGAGACGGCTGCTGCCTTCATTGCTTTCTTGCTTCGATGATCCTGAAATAGTTGTGTCCAACCTGATACAATGAAGACAATTAATTCAGAAATAGAAAAAGATAATTTAGCTTCACTAGCAGCAAGATCAGAAAATCCAGTCTGCAAAAATTGAACCAGAATCATACAAAGCAGTTACCAGATACATTACAAAGAAAATTGACAAGAAAATGTATAAGCATAAAGCAAAACATTAAAAAAGAAAGTCTTACATGCTATTTCGGGGAAGATTCATGGCAACTAGGTTTCTGAAAACCTCTTCCCTCTCCTTTTTGTGGAAAACCAAGAGATCATTACATCCATCCATGCTAAATATTTCAATAGCAACAGGACGGAGCTGATAATCACGCTTCAAAATCTCATGAACACTATTAAGTTTCCACATGCGCCAGAGGTGAGGTAAATTCCCACTGCTATGCACTTTCTCCTTTCCCCATGCACCGCCACTATAGGCCCAAGCCTTTCCCCCAACAGAGGACTTGACTATTGTGCTCCATGATGAATTTGATTTTGGTAGGAAATCTACACTATTGCTAACATTATTCTTCACACCCAAAGCCTGATCAATAACTGAAAGTTCGTGTTCACTTTCCTTCTCACAGAAGCAACCAGAATCATCAATATAGAAATTTTCAATCACATACAAACACAATTCACCAATCAGGAATATACCATCATGCTTGTCGAGACCAACAACCCGTTCACAATTATATTTAAATCGTATTTTCTCATATGGTTCCAAAAAAGGCCTGATCAAGAATTCACCATTATCATGCAGTTCTTTATCATATTTACCATCTGCAATCTTAACATCATCATCTTTGGCAGATGGCCTTGGAGATCCTAGATCAGATCTTTCTTGTGCCGCTGTTGGGACCGACACTGCACTAGACTTGGCACCAATCTCAAGTGCAGAATACAGGCTGGCTTCATTTATACTGCTACCTTTGTCATCATTGCACTCATTTCGATCAGGAACTGCATTTCTTACACTATCCAACTTATTGAAGAGGGCATCATAAAGCCCAACATCAAGATTATTCTGTTTACCATTGTCAGTCAAACCATGAAAACAACTTTCAGAATCTGGTTCAGGTGCATCAGGACCATTGTCATATTTTCGATCACAATATGCAGATTCCTTCAATTCAAACTGATCATCATGAATATTTTTTATGGTATCAATTTTAAGTTTGCTGTGTTCCAGTTTTTTGCGCATTCGGTATGGACCTTCAATTGGACAAAGCTGCCATTCTGGCTCTTCTGAGACATAGGATTTACAAAGTGGAAATATCCCTCTTTCATGCACAAGTTGCTGAAGATGACTTTGCCACTCACTCTCTGCATGAAGAACCCATCCATACTTATCTTGCCGAACAATTCTCAACACAGTAGACATTTCATCACGAACTAATTCCAGGGCATATCTTCGCTCATTTACCTGTTCCCAATGTCTTGCATCCAATTTTGCAGCTTCTCGGGATTTTCTTCCCACTTCCCGCTTACGACGGCCTTCCATGCCTTTGATTCTCACTCCAGGAAACTTTGCTGATCCATCAATATACTGCAGCCACATAATGCTAGCACATTGCTCCAGTAGTTTGTTTACAATCTCTTCAGTGTTCCAGTACCATTCAAAAAACTCAGATGAACTTTTAGTCAATAATTTGTCAAAACCCCTATGAAGCACGTCATGCTGCTGCCCTTGGCTAGGTTTACAAACAAGCAAGTCTTCTATTGCAGCCCTCCGATGTACAAGAAGATACTTAATGACATCAACTGCCATATTCTGTACATTCTGCCTTTCATCACAGAGAAGGGATATAAGATTCATGCATAGACAGTAATTAAGATCAGTATCAGTATTGCTGGGACAAAATATAATTCTTTTATGAGCAACCAGCAATTGCAAGACTGTGGAAATGTCAATCCCTGAATCCTCTTGAGAAGTTGAAGATGACCTCCTTTTAGGTTCACTGACCAGACCCAAGCGTGAAAGGAGATCTTCTTCCCCTATGCTGATTAAAAATGATGGAAGAAAGCAAAATAATATCATTCGATTAGTGTTTTTAAGAATTGAATGTATATAAGCTTCAAGTTGCCTACTTCCTCTTGTGATTGATAAGAACCCCTTTCCACCAAGAGCTGCTCCTTCAATTCGGCCATCTTTATTTGCTAATTGCAACATTGATAATAAGAATTCGAGAGTTTTTAGTACTGCAGAAGGTTGAGGGAAAGCACCCATGTATACTCGATCCACTATCATCCAGCACAACGCTTCCAAGTTTGATGACCAGCGACTTTTATCCAATTTTTTCTCATCTTCTTCATCATCACGCAGCAATCGTCTTTCAAGGAAATTCATAAATCTAGTAAGGCACAGACCCTGGAAAACTAACATAGATTCGGAATCAACATCTAGAGGAACACTTTCCAAGATGTTCTCTATGGCCAGTGATGCTTTCAGCTGCTCTATCATTAAGTCAGAAAGAACTTCTGCAATAAAATCTAAAACAGCAATTGCCCCAGCAGAACATGGACCGCCACCATACCCAGAATCATTTATATCTAAAAGTAGCTTCGAGGTGATGGCAAAGTCAGCATTTGGGGCAGATGGACCTTGAGAACTAGACTTCAACTCTGAAGATGGATCCAACTCCACAGCAAATATGGACAAATCTGAAGGAGTGGCTGCTAGAGGAGATTTTGCTTCATTGCAGATTGAGCTTCCCAACCAGGATGCCACCGGAATAACTGGCATTGAAGATGCAAGAGTAACTCTAGAGTTGGACTTCTCTGACAAAATGGGAGAATCCGGTAAGGTAAAAGATGCAGAACTCTGGGAATCTGTTGGCTGGAGAGTGTCCAAAGGGTCATTAATCCTGCAGTTGAATTCATTCGCACTGGAGGAGCCAGACACCTGATCAGTATTGAAATCATCCAAGCTCTGAACAGTTTCAACATCTTGGCAACCAGGATTATTTGACTCCAGTTGGGGTGTACTAGAATAATTCTCTGATCTCTCACCAGCCACAGCATTTACAGGTGCAGCCATGTCCTCAGAACTTGTACTTACCAATCCCTGAGGAAAGCTTCCAACGCTAATGGAGGTTTTGATTGACTGTTCCTGCTCATTAGGCAAGCTAGAAAATGTATTTTGTGAACTGCACGTCTCATCACAATCATTCAAGGATTTCTCTTCTGTCCCTGCAGAAAGCTCTTTCGCCCTTTTAACAGCATGCGCAGCCCTGTAAGGCACCAAACATTTAGCTCAACAGAAAAGGACAAATTTCGGGCAGAAAGATCATATGTAACAGAAAACTTGCACAAGAAGTCAGCTAAAGTTAATAGGTAGAAAATCAAGCAAAAACAAGCGAAGTAGCCACCATAAAACAGACCTCACACAAGAAAAATATAGGTCAATGCAGCTTTCAAGAAATTCTGAACGTCTACAAACAGCAGTGAAAGGGGGACACATCTTAGCCAAATCAACCATAAATCTGAGAACTGAAGTTGCAGCAGCAGGGGCCAATGCCTCTCCACCCATAAGGCGAGCAGCATATGTCTTATGCATCAGGGCTTCCCCCTGAAGTTCGCCAGCCATGTCTGAATTTCCCTCCACAAGCTCAGCCACAAGGCTTGCACCAACCTGGGAAAGATTACCAGTTTGGTGGATATGCATAGACTGCATGATCAGTCTATCAAAAGTAGATTTCACCATAGCAATCACAGAGTCCAACAATTCAACAAACTTGAGTTCGACATGACTCCCATCATTAGGCATTAGCGCATGAAAGTCCAGCATGCGGACCTCAGGTAACCTAGGATAAACTGGTTTGCCAAATATCAAACAAAACAAAATATAATAAATGTCTGGGGAGTCATAGAAACTTGGAAGCACCTGAGCCAGACCTTGATAACCTCCACTTGTACGAAATTTAAGAGCAAATGTTGGAGAAGAAGTAAGACACACACCAAGGAGAGTCATGACCCATCTCATGCTTGTGGGATGAACTGCTTCATCAAGAAAATATGTTATTAATTTGGAAGAAACAACTTTATGCCATTGCTCAAGCAATTCCTCAGATTTTATCGTCATTTGTAGATCAATAAGCATCTCCAGTAACATATTTCTCACAATTACATGTTTCCCCATTGACTCTCTCATAATTAGGTGTTGTGGAACCAACCCAGGAGGATCAAAAGTCATAATCACAAATCTAACAACAGTTTCAAGCTCAGTAGATAGAAACCCATCTTCCAAGATGACTCCAAGCAATATAACCAGTTTTTCTAGGACAGGAACTTCAACGTCACCCCTCTGCAAAGTCACTAATAAATGTTGAACAAGGTTAATCTGCCGCAGAATAGTAAGATTATGATTTCTGTACCAATGCATGGACACTAAATGTTCAAGAAACCCTAGCAATGAAATTTGAATCGACACAGGGGCTGTCACCCATAATGTCCAATCTAACAAGACATGTTCAACCATGTCAGCATTTGACAAGACAATGCAATTTGATGTTTCAGCCCTAATATCTGGGTTTTCCAGCTCTGAAATGTGACTAAACGAGTCTTTCTGTACGGAAAAATCATCCCTATCCCCATCAGATCCAAGTGAAGAATTTTCATCATGGAACCTTGACAAATAATGATCATCTAGACTGGTTTCTGGCAAAGATGCAGCAGGTGACAAAGTAGTCTGAGTAGTTTCCAACTTTTTTGGTTCAGAAAATGAAGCTTCACAAGCAGCAATCTGAAAGAAGATCTCCAGTGACTGCATGTCAAATAATGACATTCTACGACGCAAGAAGAGAGCAAGCAGATGGTAGCCCCTATATGTCTGCATGTCCTTCACATTTTGATGATTTTGGTGAAGTGAACAAGCAAGTAATGTAAGAGCCATATGGAGCATATCTTTTGTCTCAGCTGCTTCAACAAGGGCGAGAATGACTTCCATCCCACCAATAGGACGAATGGTCTCCCCAATCATGCATGGCTTGCAGATATAAGTATCTCCATAGAGACGTCCAAAACGTGGAATACCTGCAACCACCAGTACAACAATGAAACTGAAATCAAATTGGTAAACAAAGGAAAGCTGAAATCTGTAGATCGTTACACACCTCCAATAGGAGAAGCAGCTGCTGACACAGGATCAACCAGATTGAGCATTGAAAAGCACCCAGTCGATTGAATGAATTCAGTAGAGGTTCCATCAAATGCAAATATAAGTTTCTTTCCTGAAAGCTGTAAAGAGAGGTTTCCTAATCTCTCCAAATCCCAGACAATTACACTACCATCTACCTTCTGATCTCCCTGCTTGCCATTAGCATCAAGCCTCTGACCATTAGTAGACAAACTAGAATCAGCATCTAAAGAATCCAAGATGGCCAAACTGCCACCACCACAGGCCTGGTTTGGTACAAATTGTAGAAGATCCGTGTCCTGGAAGAGCCCTCTATATCCTCTACCAAGTGCGTACATAAAACAAATACTTCCTGGAGTAAGCACTTCCTCAAAAAGATAGCTAGAACGTAGTTTCCATGTCAAGTCACTAACTTTCGCATTAGCAGCTGAAGTCCCAATAATAACCTGCAATGGTTTCCCTGGCGGGGATGGTGAATATCCTAGTTTTCCACTGTGTCTTAGCTTTCCATTAAGATACACATAAGCAACACTAGCCTGGAACAACCCAGCAAGAGCATTTGGCTTGCTGTGAACAACTGCAAGGTGATGCCACCTTCCTTCTTGAAGTTCTAACCCAGAAAATGATAAAAAGGAGTTGTTGCTGGTTGCAAGAGTCAAAAGTCCATCATCCTGCAGATAAAGTTCAGCATAGGTTGTGCTATCATTATCAGCTGCCACAACTGAGAAAAGCCTTAAGAAATACCGCACATGCTGCTTTCCATTTGGGCCAGACCGCTTCTTATAGGCAACAGCTTTGGAAAGATCTGGCTCTTTTGACTGTGAGTTTAAGAAATTTTGAAACTGGAACCAACAAACGAAAGAATAACCAGCTGCTGGGGGCCATGATCTTTCACCCAGGGAAACCTGAATGGCAGCGTGCCCAATCTTGCTCATGTCCATCTCCACAAAGGGTGCCAGAGGAATATTTTCGGAGACTGTATCTTCCTTGAGAATCAATTTCTCCATCATTTCAATAATTAAACGGCCTGAATCTTTTTGCCTCAGTTGCAGAATATATTTCACAAGTTTGCGGAGTTCAGATGTGAATAGCCTAATTAGCAGAAACTCGGTTGTTAAATATAAATAAGGGATTAGATTAAATGGGTAAAACAAACATCAGCCAACAGATAAACACAACAAGTTCTACCTGTAGGAACCAAGAACTTCCACAATTTTCAATGCATATGAAAGTAATGGAGATGTACCCAAAAGAAAAGGGTGGATTGTCTCCAGCAACAGCTCTACACAGCCTAAAGACATCATGAAAACAAAAAAAATTAAAATGAAGACTAGAATATTCAAAGGGAATTGTGTAAAAGCAAACCACGCCATACATACCAACAGAGGTAAGCTTTTCCTGATTAAAGGAGCCAGCATGAGCAAGCTTTTCAATTAAATCTAAAAGTTCTAACTGCATCTTGGGAGTAAAATGCATTAATGAACTGATCAGAACTCTGAAAACTCCAGCATTGTAAACTCGTGCTTTACTAGGATTAACTGGACCCGATGAGGTTAATAAAAGATTGTGAGATGATTTATCAACAGCCTGGCCATCTTGTTTTGAGGAAGGGGGGATCACAATTTCAAGAGCAAGTTCCAACATCAACTGGATTACTTGTTTTTCATGCTCCGTACAAAGCAAGCCAGAATCGAAGAGAAGATCAAGGAAAGTTTGTGAAGATATAATTTCATGCAACTTCACCCTATTAACAGCATTATCAGACACTCCAACAGTTACAACACGCAACAAATATGTAAAAACCTTAATACAGACATTAAGTGAAGGTTGATCTACATCCCCTCCCTCACTTTGGAACCCATGTAGTGTAGTGAGCAAAAGAGAAAAACCAGTGGCTTCACCAAAAACCTTCTGGGCAGAGCGGTTAGTTCCCAGGATCCGCAGCAGAGCTCCCATAATGTCACATTTTGCATCAACAGAAAGTCGGTACTGAGACCCAGAAGCATCTATTATGATTCCACTTTTCAAAATTTCAATGAATGCACCCAATTCCTCAGGATGAGCCTGGTAAATTTCAGATTAGATAATTATCTTGATGAGTCTGAATGAACAATAAAGCAACATAAACAAAAATTAATTCAGATGCAGGATGCACAAAGATATTTTCAAAAAATAAAAATTTATCTTCTGTTCAATAATAAACTTCATCACAAATCAATATATGTAAAGCCAACCAACATCGAGAGCTCAGAAAATTTGGTGAAAATTACTGGTAGCTCAACTAGCTGAGATTGAAATGAAGTAGCCAATGCCAACAAACCTGTGAAACATCTTCAATTATAAGACATGACAGTATCCTGAGAATGCCAGAACGGTGCTCGTCAGACAGCAGAAAAGGCAGTACAGCAGTCACACCATTAGCTGATCGAAATGAAGCTTGATTCACCTCAGATTTCTTAACTAAAGAAACCAAGCAATCCCATGCAATAGGAATCGTAGCTTCCAAATCAAAAATGGGAAATGTCCCGGAACCAGATTGTATAAGCTTGGATGAAGTAATGATAACATCCTTCTTGTCCAAATGTCTCTTGAAGTTGCTTGAGCTGGATTTCCTCTCCAACTGATTTGAGATTACATTCTGTTGGTCTGGGCCCAAAATCCTGTGTTGCTTCTTCAGATCATCTAACAGAACTTCCAACACACCAACTTCACGCAAAACTTTCTTATACTGTTGATCAAAAGATAAGAGTTTTACAAAGAAAGAAAGTATTGTCCTCTTCAACTCTGACGTAATTGGTTGTTGTAATAAGCAGCAAAGTGAAAGCAATTCTTGCTCAGGAACGCAATTTACAACTGTCACAGCATACTCAAGAATTTTCAAGATTATCTCTTGCAAAGATGAAGGAAAGCCGGCCATATTTAGGATGAAAAGTGGAACAGTACGTAATTTCTGACACAAATTGTAGTTATCTATGTGACTCGAAAAAATTTTAAACATCCTATTTAATACTTCAGCCTGCAATTCCCGACTGGTAGCTTTGAGGAAAATATCTTGTAACATCCGGACTGCTTCAAGGTCCTTAATTTTACCGTTGTCCTTCTCCCATGCTTCACCTAGCAGGTCAAAAGATGAAGTACGACTTCGGTTATAACCACTAGGCTTGTTTTGGGAAGATTTAAAACCCTTGATTCCATAAGACTGTAAAGACTCATTTGATCCAGTTTGAGCTAGACAGACAAGAACATCAAGCAACCTAGATAATGTGGGTGAAAGACATTGCAAGGTAGCATTCTCCTGTACACCAGAATTTTGTCCTCCATCATCAAATGTTTGGGACCCATCAGAAGCAACATTCTGGTCAGCAAATGAATTGGATAGAAAAGACTGGAAGCCTTGACTTGTCGCCATGCTGGATAGAGTTAGAGCAAACTGAACAAGGAATTGATATCCATGGGCATTATGTATATCCTCCTTCAGTCTGACACTACCAGCATCTACATTTTAAACTTCTGAGAAATCAGCACTACCCAAGGGGGGGGGTCCAGAAAGAAAAATCTTTAGAATTTAACTAGAGGGACCTTATTTATTGCTCCTCTAGCTTTGTTTATAATATGTAAAGTATCCATTGCTCTTATATAATAACTAAACAAGAAAAAAAAATGACTAGTAAATTACCACTCACCAGGTCTATTTGACAATTCCACGCACTCAAGTAACAAGTCAACAATGCCCATGGTATAGGCAGAATCACCAGAATCAGGGTCAAAATCTTTCACAGCCAATAAAAGAACTTTAATCTGCATGAAAAAAAGGCATGACAATAAGAGAACAGTGAGAATAAATAATGAATATAAAAAAGGGATGCTATGAACTTCATAAATCCTAATCAGTATAGCACCAATATATTACAATGGTACAAGTAAAACTATAAACATAATTTGCATGGGTAATATTGCAGTAGCCGCTGACATGGCTTGTGGACAAGGGATACTTTTAAAGAATAAGAATTGTTTAACACAATATTGATTTTATGGTGGAACGATTTCAGCAGAGGTGCATGAGTGTATGTCGGTTTAAAACAACTTCAAAAATAAAACATCAATTTTCTGAACTCTCTTTAATTAAGCAAAACAAAATGTATATACCCATATTTGTATGACTTTTAAAATGATTAAATTAAGATTCCATGCACAATTTCAGAAAATGGTCTTATCTTTTGCTTGAGAAATGTCCAAATTGATCAAGAAAAGTCAGATCAATCCAAAACAATTTTGGATTGTTCTTAAATGGCAATTCTTTTTTTTTTTTCAAGAAGAGACTCTCCTTTTAATTTTACACAGCTTGCGATTTGTCATTTGTTCATAGCTAGGCTGATCTGTCCTTATAGACAGTTTATATTAAGAGAGGGGAAAACTGCATTTATTACAAAACTACATCTCACAAATGTGTTGTTGCATAAGATGCAAGGAGAATAATGTTACAGGAATCCTTGTTATTTTTTTATATTTTCATTTGATATTAGATGACAAATGGCAGTGAACCAAATGGGGATCCATTTGTCACAATATTCAAAATCCAAGATCTTCACCAACCCAACCCCTGAGGAAAAGCCTGGTAAAACAATCCTGTTGGGGAAAATGAAAACTGCAACATTTTAAAAATAACATCCTGTGCAGTTCATTGCAGTGGTTAAGTTGAACACAAACTAACTGAAGATTACAATAGTGAGAGAAGTTATTTAACACAAATCAGATTGAAAAGCAAATCACAAACCAGATTATGCTTGCGGATGTAGCTGGCTGTCCTTCCATTGTCATTGACCAAAAGAAGTCGAAGTATCTAAAAAAATTTAAGGAGCAGCAATATGAATATTCAACATCAGAATTAAAATGCCAATTCAAACAAGTTGTCATAAGATAGCATATATATGTGATGTTTTCACTGCATCCATATGCACCACAATTTACCTGCATAGCATGCCTATGAAGTTGTATGCAGTGCAATGGAATAAGTCCTTCCTTGCATCGAGAGAAAACTATCAAAGATCCCTTTGAAACCATTTCAAAGAGTAATTGAAGTGATTCATCCTCTATCAAACTCTGTGTTGCTGATGGATGGCTCGCAAGTGCTTTCATGATATGCACAATACTTCCTTCTACCTGAATACAAATGATTTGACTGCAAATAAATAAAGTACAAATAGGGCCTTGAAAGACCCCAGTAATATCCAAATTATGAAATAAAGGAAAGCGCGGATTTCAAGATTTTATGCTTTATGGAAGAGTTTAAAGTTTTCACTAATGCTGTATAAAGAATATACGATGAAAACAATTAGGATTCAGGTCTCCAATAAGATTTTAATACATACAACTTCCTTCCTGACAAACAGTTAAGTAACTTACTAAAATTGCGCGTGCGCATACCCAAACCATTGCATTTACAATGGAATCAGAACTTATGTAGCCAGAATGCAGGTTTTAAACAAATTGATTAAATGATGGAGAGAAAGGGGGGAAAACCTCGAGCTGGCGAACTTTTCCAACATTGCCATCATGATCTGTTTGTGATAACTCTGGTTCTTCATGATTGATAGCAGCACTTGGCCTTTGAAAGTTTACATCAGGATCTAAAATGGCATTGAGAATATGAATGAGACAGCTAAACATCCCAGAGTCAAGCAGAGATTGTTTGTCCATAGGCTGCAAAAAAATATACACACAAGAACTACTGCTTGATGCTCATGAGTAAAAAATAAAAATACAACAAAATGGAATTATAAAAGCATAATAAGTTTCAAAGTAAAGTCGATTAGGCAACCCCAAGTACTACCACAACACAGAATAAACCTAAACCATCAATTTTCGTTTGTCACTAACACATTACTTGCAAGCAGGAATTGTTTGTCGTTTTTTTGAGCGGTGAAGAAAAAGAAAGGAAGGAAGGAAGAACTAATATATGAAGTAAGGCAAATCTCACCAAGGACTTTACTTGGATACACATCCAGAATCAATACTAGGTCCAAAACCATGGTTTTGGAAAATCTTATCCAAACACCCCCGATTTTCCCAAATTCCATTTGTCTTCTGAAACTCCATTAAGCTTTTTTTTTTTTTTCATTCTTAGCATTTGAGCATTTTCCATTTCCCCTATCTTTATAATTAGTTCTAAAAAATTATCCAAACATCTTCAATTATCAAAATCAATTTCAGAAATTATTATACAAACATTATCACATTTTGTTAATCAATTTTTTCTACAATCATTTTTTACTAATTGAAATCCAAACACATTCCAAATCGCCAATATTAAAAAATAAGATTTCCATCAACACAAAACAGAAGTCAATCACATATAACAACTTAGCTCAAAAGGCTTTGAAAGTTTACCCCAGATACAAGGATCTCGACTGCAGTTAACAAATTTGATCCAACAGTGATCCCATCCTGCACAAAGTGTATCACAGTAAATTCCAAAAAAAAGGCAGATAACTAGCAAAGCAATGGCAAGATCCAAGAAGAAAAATCTTAGACAAACCTTTGTGACTTCAGAAAAAAACTCAAAAACTTGACCTACATCCAGAGATTTTGTTTTTCTGCTGGTTTTTAACTTCTCTACATCTGTCACAAACGCTCTTCCAACAACGAAGGAGAATAGATGTGTTTCAACTAACCTGCAAATCATCAACTTTCCTCAGTCAGTCAAAGAAACTTCAACAAGGCATGTCTACGAAGTTGCATAGAAAGCAATCAATTTCATATTTTACAAGCAGAAATGAATAAATGAAATGCAAAATACCAAAGCAAGAGAAGGGATCCGGAACTTGTTTTGATAATGATTATTCTCAAAAGGCAAGAGTAGAAACAGAGCATATAATCAATTACAAATGGCCATAAATGTCGCTTAAGAATCATACAGCATGCTTCATAACAAAGGAGCCGTATCAAAGAATGGACAGTCTAGGATTTGACTGGTCAATTAGCGTCCCATGAATCCTTAATAATCCTCTCCACATAATATTCATTACTCGACAGTGTAGTTAACCCCAAAATATAAAGATAGAGATGGTAATGGCAAAGTAGAAGTGCGAACATGCTTATCATTATTTCAATTCCTTTAGAAATACAAACATTTTAAGTAGGAAAGGTCTAGTCATATAACCTTTATTGAAAACATCAGGACAAGAAGAGCCCATGCACAAGATCTGTAGTTCATTTTACGATGCTGCACCTCAAAACTCATTAAAGACAGAGAGCAGCAATTTCCTCTTTTCTGATAAAAGTAATACTGGTGCCTATATTTTCATAAAACAATTGGGATGCGTATAGCAATGCGTCCATAAAAATGTGATGTTTCAAACAATTGGATGCATATAGCAATGCAAAGATAAGAAAAATCATTTTCTTTACATGGTAAATAACTGAGCTACGTTAATTTGCTGCTTCGCTAATCTGCAAAATGCATCTACAGTCTGGTCCAGGGCCGCTTCTTTTTCCTGCAAGTTAATTAGAAATCATTAACAAGTAGCATTTTGTAGTTTGTAGTATTGACCATTCAATTGATAAACAAAAGTACTAGATCAATCAAGCAAGAATGCAAGCAAGAACCTTCTCAGAGTTGGATGACCTAAACTCTTCCCAAAATCTCTTGAAGTCCAATTCCAGTTCATGTCTGTCCCTGATTTCAAGCTTCAAATAGTCATACTCAAATGTGGCATCATAAGAATAATATGTCATAACATATCTAGGAGGAAAAAGTCCAAAAAAAAAAATGCAACAAGAAAATAGCATCGCTTATTAGCTTACTCTATACAACAACAACAAGCTTTATTCCACTGGGTGGAGTCAGCTACATGGATTGTATAATACCATTATACTCTATTATTTATCAAACTTTTAAAAATGTTATTAACTGAGGGGTCTAAGTCAACAACTTTCATGAGTGTTTTATTGGCCTTTTTCTACCTCTCTTAATAAGGCTTAAAATTATCTATTTCACTCTTTTCACCAATGCCTCTTGCGGTCTTCTTTGTCCATGTCCAAACAATCTCAAACGATTTTCTGCCATTTTTCCCTCGATAGATACTACACCCACTTTTCATTGTATACGCTCATTTTGAGTTTTACCTTTACTTTATAACAAAATGAATTTGTTAGATTATCAATTGGTGTAATTTCATTAACTCGGATTATTCAATCATTTCTATCTATAAATAAATAGTTATGAGCCTAATGAAGTTATAGAAAAGTAGATAAGCCAACTGCCACGTAAAAGACATGTTATGTGTAACCGCTAACTTGCTCTCACACCCTCTAGAAACAGAAATGTAACTAGTATTTGTTAGATTACTGACAAGGAAATGAGGCCATTAATACATTCCCTTCAACGATATTAAGGTAAGAAATCAAAGGCCCAGGTATAAGTCAGTGGACATGACGCACATCTGATATACAATCACATTCAGGACCACAATAACACGGCACATTACTGGATGCAAAAAATTGTAAAAAGTAAATAAACAAATAAAGCACAGTGCACTAAAGACTTCATAAGATTCAACAATAAGTAGCTTTCTCCCCACAACATATCCATTTCATTAGCTGAACTAAACTTTTGTCATCTGAAAGAAATAGGAGTTAAAAAACTTTAACAGGGAGACAATCAGGGGATTTAATGAAGTTTATTTCATGTACTTTCTAACTGCTGGCAGAAAGAAGTGGAGACGGGTGGTTGCAGTATCAAGTATCGACAGAGGAGCAGAGGAAGAAAGGAAATTCCATTCATCCCAGCCAAAAAACCAAGTAAAGACGGGATTGACGGGGAGTAATGCCACGTAGCCTTTCTCTCTTTTCTTTATTTATTATAGCAAATAATATACAATGCCATGCTCAAAAGATCTCACTCGAACAATAGGAAAACCATTTTCAATTGCTGAACTTGATCAGATAACTTAACGTTAGGGGAAAAATAGAAAAATGCTAATCGATTTAAAATAAATGAAACAAAGAAAATATTGAACCTGGCAGACGATGAGCCCAAGTTTTGCGAATCTGAAAAGGCATTGTTATCCCGAGAAGATAAGGCTGAAGAGAGTGAAGAGGCAGAGGCAGTAGGGGCAGACGGAGATGATTGACTGAAACCAACCCTCTCTTTAAAGTCCTTGATCAATGTTACCCATTTCATTGTTTCCCCTCTCGATCCTTCAAACACATGCAGAGCTCTCTCATCCAATCACCGCTCACCGGATCCAGCCCCTCCCACAACAGTCGACAATAACCTCCGGCCTCCGGCGAATCTCTCAGCTCCCGATATCCCCCCGCCTAGAGAGGGGGAAAGGGATTTGAAGTATGAGAAATAGTTTAATATAAGCTGTAATTATAGCTGCAAATGTAAGAAAGTGGGCAGATCGAAACTGGCCTTGAATTTCGAAAGCGGCAAGATCTGCCCAATTCTAATTCATCTTTTTTAAAAATTTCTCCAATTTATTTTGATTGGTTAATGCGTGTCAGAGATGTGAGTTGCGGGTCCTGCGTCTCGTGATTCTCTGTTATCCCCTTCTCCTAAATTTGATCTCTCTCTTCTTCTTTTTTCAAAAAGTTCGGAGTTCTCTGAATTCTCGGAAGATGCTTCGGCGTTGGCAGCCCTAAAAAGCAGGGGAGAGCTAACAAATCGACACGACTAGCTTACTGGAGTTATGGAAGTTATTGAAAGAATGCCAAATAAGATTGAGAAAAAGGGGGAGAAAAAATAAAAAAGATTGAAAGAAGACGAAAATCTCTGTGTTTCTACTCAGGTTCAGACGGCTCTCCGCTGAATATACTTGCGGCTTCCCTGCCCGGTCTTTCCAGCTTCTCTATATGTACTCTCTTTTGCGCACCAGGACCACGTCAGCGAGGAATCCACATGGAGCACCGTCGTTCGAGCACTATCTGTGAATCTGAATTCTGAGAAGAGTCAAGGCCTCGAGGGGTTTTCTTTTTCTTTTCTTTTCTTTTCTTAATTTCTATTTTGGCCCTTCGGGTCCGCAAAATGGTGTTAATTGAGGTCGTTTAGGGGATTCTCTTGTCTTTGCGAGATTACCAGTTCGTTGAGACGTGTAGAGTGTAGACTGATTTTTCCCGGCTTTTTTTTTTTACCTGGTTTTTTTTTCCCTCCCGGTTTTAGCTTTATCAATTATCACCTTCTTTTATTTGAATTTGATTTGATGCCTCTCTGGATTCCTTCATTTAATCGCCGATTTTTTCAGAGGGTGAGGCTATGATATACAGCACGTGATATGATACTGGTAAAATATAACTCACTCTATAATATAACATATTGTTTAAAAAATTAAATATTTAAAAATATAAAATATTTTTAATATTTTGAGATATAATCATTATTTTTTTTAAATATCTTTATTAATAAATAATTTTATATTTATTATAGAGTATTTAATAGAAATAAATATAAAAGAAAAGGATAGTTAAAAATAAATAATTATTTTATTAAAAATTAATAGATAATTATTTTATTAAAAATTGAGGTCCCATTAAAAATATTGTATATTTTTTAACAAATAAAGTACTTGTTTTTTCTGTCTTAACTAACAGAAGGGTTCATGAACGAAATAAAATTTCTTGTTATAAGCTAACCTGAGTAGTTAATTAACGCCTAGTCAGCAAAAAAAAAAAAAGGATAATTAACGCGTTTATCAATTTTCTTGTAAGCAGGGAAACATTTATGGCCTTGGCAAAGTATCTTCATTAATTACATCCGTTGCTTCGTGGGAGCAAATAATATTACTTGCACCAGATTTAAATATAAAGTGTTTTAAATTAAGAGTATCGAAATCAACCTAAACTAATCACATCAAATCAAATCAAATTAAACTAAGCCGTATGAATCGATCAAAAAAAATTATAAATGAGATTTTGTTTTGTTTTTATTTTGACAAAACTAATTAGTTAAATTTGATTCAAGTTTTTGCTTCTGAAAATTCAAACTAACTCAGACGAAATTTTATTATATTTATTATATATATTTTTATAAATTTTTTAAAGCTTTTCTCTATTTTTAAGTTTAGTTATTTGTAAATTGTTAATAAAAATAAGTTACATTTAGCTAAATGTTATTTATAACTGTTTAAAATAGTTTTTAATGTTATAATCAAGTGTTTTAAAGATAATATATTGATTTTTAATAATTGAATGTTCTAATTAATTGTTTTTTACCAACATGCTAATTGATTGTTAAAAAATATTTTTTGTGCTCGAAAGATTTTTATTGCAAAGAATGATTAATGGTTTATAATTATCAATAAACATGAATATATATTAGTGACTATGAATAATGTATCATTATAAAAGTTTAAACTTGATCCAGACCTAAATCAAACTAACTGAAGGAAAAAATAAGTCCTAAATTACAGTAATTGATTGGTTTGATTCGCTCTGGCTTTTTCTCAAACCAAATTGAATTTGTGAACACTTTTATTTCAAACAATCTTGCATGCATGTTTTTTTTTTTTAAATCCAATGAATATTTACAACTCAAACTTGTGAACACTCTTATTTTCAAAATCAAACAAAACCAAATTTGTGAATACCCTTATTATAAACAACCTTGCATGTTTGAAAAAAAAAAAAATCCATGTGCATGTTTATATTGTTAAATTTAAATATTTAAAAAGTTAACGTCCCGTTTGTTATCCTAGCTAGTTAGAGGAATATGAATCGGGAAATTGACGGTTTGACCACAAAATTTAATCAATGACGATTTTCTAACCAATGTACTGAAAAAATTTATCGAAAAAATTATAAATTTTAAAATTTCAATTACAAACCAAGGAGGTTTTTTCTACAGTCATGTTTCTATCTCTATTCATTTACCTTGTTCCATTTTTTTTATTCTAATAATTTATGTTGTGTCATGTTTCTAATTCAATCATTTGATTTGGCCACTTTTTTAAATACATGTTGTCCCAATGTGTTAGTAATACATAAAACTTGACTTTTGTAAAGAAAACAATAATTATATTGTCTTTCACTAAGAGGAATGCCTATTAATTGTACTGTGGTTATATTAACATCGTCAATGAAGGATAAAAATTGGCTAGCAACAAAACACGAACATGATTGAAAACAGTGGCGAAGCCACGTTGTATTGAGGCTGGATAAATATATCCTTGACTTTGTGAATTATGTAAATTTGACAATTTTGCACTCATACATTTGATATTTTGCACTGTCTAGATGAAATAAAAAATATATAGGTTCAAAAACTTGTTAGATATGTAATGTTTTAATAATAAAAAAGATTTGAAAATCATATTTACATGTATAAAAGATTGCGTTGACATATTCAATACAATTTTTCAAAGAAGAAGATTAATGTAGTTATATTATTATAAATTTAATCACATTGTAATTATTTTTTTTAAATAGTGGTTTTTAAATTAAATTAACCCGCACCCCTAAGTTTCGAGTCCTGACTAATCCACTTATTGGAGAGCAAAAGATCGTAACAATTAACAGATGGGAAGATGAGAGCTGCCTATTAGGTTGTGCAAATTTATGATGCACAGAATAGAGCTTTCATTATTTTCATGATAGAAAGCTCGAGCTAATTAAGATGGTCTCGCACTTCTCTCTCGCACGAAATTAATAATCATGCTTATAAGAATATCTTATTTATTTATCCACCCACACCTTCTGCATCTCACGAATGTAATAGGAAAAAAAAAAGAGTCTATAAGCTTAAAAAGAACAAAACAAAACAATCCCCATTTTATTATCTTATCCGGCTTCCCCAATTCAGCAAACGTGCCTTGCACACCCTTTCCGCAAAGATTCCAATGACACGTATTCTGTAATCGATTAATTATACCAAGAGTTGACCAGAAATTATGGGTGTGTTTGAAATTTGGAGTGGGTATAATTGATTATGAAAAAATTTAATTAATATGATTGATTTTGAATATAATTGATTATATTATGAGGTACATAATTAATTTATAAGATTGATTTTAATTAGAATTGAAAATAAAGTAAAACAATGACTTTGTGAAAATATATCCAAACATTTTTATTACATGTCAAAATTAATTATGAATCTAAAATTATATTAGTCAAAAAATATTAAACGCCCATTATACATGCTAGAATAAAATAAATCATGAATTCAAAACTATAATTTTTTTTTAAATATCCAAACACTCCATACATATCAAAATTAATTATGAACCCAAAATTACAATTATCTCATAAGCTAATATTACTTGATTTTCAATTCATATTCTCAATCATGTTTTCTAAAAATTTATCCAAAAATTATATAAATTATTTACAAATCATATTTTTGGGTTTATAATTAATTTTGACATATATAGATGCATTTGGATATTACAAAAAAAAAACATAGTTTTGGGTCTAAAATTAATTTTGACATGTGTAATGGGTGTTTTGATATTTTTAGGAAAGATGGTTTGGATACATTTTTTTTTTAACATGTAATGGAGTGTTTTGATATATTTTTATAAAATCATGATTTGAACTTCTAAAATTGATTAAAAAGAATGTCCAAGCAGTCACTATATCGTGAAACGATGCATCTTCTGGTGATTGCCGTAGCTTTAATTAAATACTATCACATCGTTTTATTTATACGGCTTCACGTATTTATTTCTGTTAACGAAGTTGAGTTTATATATATGTGTGTGTGTGTGTATATATATATGATGAAGATGAAATTGAATTTAAAATCGCAGCCAATGTCACTCAGTACCTTCTTTTTTTCTTTTTTCTTTTGCCAGCCAATTTTGTACTTCAAATGATCAAACTCTGCAATAAAAAATTATTCAATATTCATCAGGGTGTAAGCGTCGTTAATGCAATTGATTTTTCACTAGATTCAAAGTTCAATCAATTTTAATATTTTACTTCATAATGTGAACATGCGGTGTAGAGCAATGAATTTGCGTGATGTGTACGGTCGATCGAATCAACTCGCCTAAGGTCGTTTTGACAGCAAGTTTAATTCTCGATTCGAGCATCTGCGCGGGCATCGGCAGGTTCGCATAAAGTATTACCAACAGCTTAGTCAGAGAGGGGAAAACTAGTGTAGACTAATAGGAAGGAAAACCCAATGCTTTAAGAAGAGGTAGGTAACGGATGAGAAGGTAAGACTAAAAAGTTGGCCAGAGGCTAATTAATGAGAGGCCTAATCAGAGTCGAATAGAGAAAGAAGTGACCATTTTGCGTTGTCAAATTGGGCGTGATGCTACGAGTGAACAGAGACTTTGTCAAACACGATGCAATTGGTATTGCCCTACGGCGAAGCAATCGATCAAATACAAATGTAAGGAGAGGGATTAGGTAAGAATGAGACCCGTGTTTTGGTTGAAGAAGCCAAACATGCATGCTTATAGAAGAAGGCCATAGCTTTGAACTCAATCTGGCTCGCCAAGTCTCAATTGTGGGGTTGTTGTTGGAGTGATGTGATCATGAGAAGGATGCATCTTGAATGTCCTATGTTTTGTTTGATCGTTCGATTCCATGTTGAGAATTTTATATTCGCATGGGAACATCACGGAACAGAATTCTCACTGCTAACTTCTAAGCATTCCACGTAACAGAGACGTGAAACCTGAAGATTGGAGCTAGCATCAGTTTCGGTTTTATGATGTTTCAACTTTCAATATTACGCCCTCTCTTAACTTGGTATTGCTCCAATTTTACGGATATCCTGACTCGATACTGCCAGCTAACGTCCTGCATTGGCAAGCAAAAGCTAAAAAGTTGCTTCATTTTTTTTTTCAATAGTACAAGAAGAGTAGGCTATGTAAAATAAATACATACCATTATCTCTATCCCAAATTATGAGGCAGTTTTGAAAGTTTTTAGTTGTCCCAAAATATCAAATAATTTGACAAAAATAAAATTTTATCAATGATGTTCTTTTAATATTATTTTTAAATGAAAGA